TACTTGTATCATTTAGCAAATGATACGAACGAAATTATAAATTTCATAACGTTGCAAAAATGTTAAATTGAACAGTCAGTGTTTCGCATAAATTTCATATTATTGACAACAGCATTATTACATTTACATTGCAACGCAGACAGCACACAGCAATTTAGTAGATTCTGTACATAGGGACGATATTATTTTCGCGACATATTTAAACGTTTCAGTCTTTCGCATAAGAAACGCGCGAAGAATGTTCGGTTTCATTATCGGTTCTTGCCGCGCGGCGTTTGTTTAGCATAACAATTCAGCTAGGGACAATCGGTACACCGAAACCAAAGGAGAACAGGATGATTTCTTCGTCTCGCGAGATAGCTGCTTGCCTTGAGAGGCGCACGGTCTCTGACCTCGCATTCTCATGGTGTACGAGCACGGTGTATCAACATCAGTGCATCTTTTCACTCTCTTATCGATCGACGAGATATTTGCAGCAACAGTCCGACCGCTCTTACATAAACGAGCGAGCAATTTTGTTCAGGCATTGTTGTTCGAATTTAGCAAACCGGCGGCCAGACAATTCTGACCCACTCGATTAACACGTGTAAATCAAGTTACATTGATTCCACATGCTGTTTTAATGTGCATCGAGAACAGATCTCCTATGCAATCGACAACGCATTTTCTATTGTTTTTAATATAGAAATGTAGGTATATTTAAATATATATATGTCTCTATTTTTTATTATTTTTAATATAGAAATATACGTATGTTTCTATTTTCTATTATTTTTGATATAGAAATATAGATATATCTCTATTTCCTATTATTTTTGATATAGAAGTATATATATATTTCTATTTTCTATTATTTTTAATATATAGAAATATAGATATATTTATATTTTCTATTATTTTTGATATAGAAATATAGATATATTTTCACTTTTTAATATTTCTAATATAGAAATATAGATATATTTCCACTTTTTAATATTTCTAATATAGAAATATAGATATATTTCAATTTTCAATATTTCTAATATAGAAATATAGATATATTTCAATTTTCAATATTTCTAATATAGAAATATAGATATATTTCAATTTTCAATATTTCTAATATAGAAATATAGATATATTTCAATTTTCAATATTTCTAATATAGAAATATAGATATATTTCAATTTTCAATATTTCTAATATAGAAATATAGATATATTTCAATTTTCAATATTTCTAATATAGAAATATAGATATATTTCAATTTTCAATATTTCTAATATAGAAATATAGATATATTTCAATTTTCAATATTTCTAATATAGAAATATAGATATATTTCAATTTTCAATATTTCTAATATAGAAATATAGATATATTTCAATTTTCAATATTTCTAATATAGAAATATAGATATATTTCAATTTTCAATATTTCTAATATAGAAATATAGATATATTTCAATTTTCAATATTTCTAATATAGAAATATAGATATATTTCAATTTTCAATATTTCTAATATAGAAATATAGATATATTTCAATTTTCAATATTTCTAATATAGAAATATAGATATATTTCAATTTTCAATATTTCTAATATAGAAATATAGATATATTTCAATTTTCAATATTTCTAATATAGAAATATAGATATATTTCAATTTTCAATATTTCTAATATAGAAATATAGATATATTTCAATTTTCAATATTTCTAATATAGAAATATAGATATATTTCTACTTTCTAATATTTCTAATATAAAAATATAGTTATATTTCTATTTTCTATTATTTCTAATATAGAAATATAGATATATTTTCACTTTTTAATATTTCTAATATAGAAATATAGATATATTTCAATTTTCAATATTTCTAATATAGAAATATAGATATATTTCTACTTTCTAATATTTCTAATATAAAAATATAGTTATATTTCTATTTTCTATTATTTCTAATATAGAAATATCCATATATTTTCACTTGTTAATATCTCTAACATAGAAATATACATATATATTTAAATATACATATATTCCTATTCAAAGAAAAATATGCGGCGACACGGAATTATTGTCTTTTCTTTTTATCATTAAAATACACAAATGAAAACACCGTATCATCTATTTATTTATTCCTATAAAATTTCCCAACAGTGCACAAAATGGCATCATTTGCGCTGCTAGATATTTCTATCAGAAAAATCTACCGAGTGCCCAAAGGGTTGAATTATGGTATACCAATTCTGTGATCGTTCGTAGCACGAGTATCAAGTACATATTACCAAACCTCATAGGTATTCCGTGCTCGCGTGTTTTACGTATAACACCGTGTCAATGGGAGCATTAACCCGTTCAATCTCCGTCACGACCGAAATCGGTCGTGATCGGCACAAGATACCGTGCTCATTAACGGTGCTTAAAATTCTTTCCTAATACCCCATGTCGGGCACCTCTGACGTACACCATTGACGTACGCTTACTTTCGATCTACCCGTGTCAAATTTCTATCGCCGATTATCGGGTGTTACGAAGCACGATGTGACACGAACCAATGACACCTTTATAATATACCCACGGTGGCAGATTAAAGTGTGCGAATGCAACTCTTGAACCGTGGTCATTTTTTTTTCATGACTAGATTTAAATTTAAATTTATAGAAATATATGTGCATTTATATATTAGAAATAATACAAAATAGAAATATATCTATATTTCTATATTAGGAATATTTGAAAATAGATATATAACTATATTTCTATATTAGGAATATTAGAAAATAGATATATAACTATATCTCTATATTAGAAATATTAAACAGTAAAAATATATCTATATTTCTATATTAGAAATATTAAACAGTAGAAATATATCTATATTTCTATATTAGAAATAATATAAAATAGAAATATATATACTTCTATATCAAAAATAATATAAAATAGAAATAGAAATATATTTCTATATCAAAAATAATATAAAATAGAAATATAAGTATATTTATATATCAAAAATAATAGAAAATATGAATATATCTATATTTCTATATGAAAATAATATAAAATAGAAATATACAAATATATCGTTCCATCTTCGTTTATCTATCTCTAAAAGTATAAAACTCCCCTCGTTTCTATAATTATTCGCACGCACGTTATAATTCGATATACTTGAAAACCGATTTCTTTCGGCGTGCAAAATAGAAACTTTCCGGTCACCTGGGCACGTTCAAGATAATTCTCGAGATCGTAATAGAGGTCAGTGGGCACCGCCGCGTTCTTGTCACATTTCGTTAGAAAGCCGAAAGAGCTGGAACAGGCAAGTTAATAGTACTCGAACCCGTCACGAACTATGGCTATAAATTTCTTTCTTTTTTTCCGGTCTTTCCGCGGCTTCTAAAACGGATTACATCAAGCCGTCGCTGTGTACGACCGGTGCCCGTTGATTATTTTCGCGGCCGGCTTTCCCAAAGTCGTCGATACGTACGCGACTTTCTTTTGTGATCGAAATGGCACAGAACCGGCCTAACTGAAGCCCATTAATTCGAGCAACAATCTGGTACCGTCGCGCTGTCTGGAAATAATTTTCCATCGATCGTGTTATTACAACGTCTCGTGCATCATATGCTGTCTATTATATTCCTCGACCCGGATTAAGGATAATATTTTCGAACGATGTAGACGGTGTTCGGTGTTCTGTTTGATTTTACGAAGCCCCGATTATCCGATTCTTTAAATAGCAGATTTCTCTACTGTCCAAATATGTTTCGCACGTGATCGTCACGATCTAAGGCAATCCGTGTGCAAGAATTGTTTTAGTAGAACAGAGTGGTGCTGGTTCGATTGCACAATTCGAACACAGTTTTGGTTAATTCCATTGCTAATTCAATTCAAGTAGAATGCTATTCAAATAGAATGCTATTCAAATTCAATGCAATTCAAATAGAATGCGATTCAAATTCAATGCAATTAAAATACAATGCAATTCAAATTCAATGCAATTCAAATAGAATGCAATTCGAATAGAATGCAATTCGCGAATATAAAGCAATTCAAATACAATACAATTCAAACAGAGTGCAATTCAAATAGAATGCAATTCGAATAGAATGCAATTCGAGTTCAAAGCAATTCAAATATTCCAGTTCAATTACATCGTAATTCCTAATGTTAATTCAATTACACTATAATTCGTAATTAGCCAAATTCAATTACTCAGTATGTTGCAACTGTACTCCAACTGCAATAACATTGTAATTTCATCGAATAGATATAGATCTGAATTACGAATTACAATTCGTCTGAATAATAACGCAGTCGAATCGCGCCTTAATTACAATTCCTCGAGTAATTCAATCGCGATTCCGCACAACTCTGTAGAAAAGTGACCAGCGATTATTTAACCATCGGATTATTTACGGCGAGCTACTTAGTTTGGATGATCGAGAACGCAAACGAATTACAAAATTCCAAACAGGAAAAGGAATATATCTAGAATACACGAAACGTCATCCGTGCTTCCACGAGTTCTTTAGCGAGTTACTCTCATGCATATGTAAAACCAACAATTTTTTTCTGTCGGGCTTCATTTGCCAAAGGTCCACTCACTCGTCTTTTATTTCCGTGTGCTTATTAAACGACGAATTCACGGAAGGCATTTTGAGAAGATCGATGAACTCATTGAATACATTATATTTTTTTGTTCGCGCGGACATAATCGAGGCGAACGATTTTACCTACGAAACGTTGTAAATATAAATAAATATAAATAAATGTAAATATGAATAAATAGACGTTCCACGGTGATTAAAAGCGCGATTCTCTACGTAAATATGTATACATATATTAAAAGTACCTATTTATTTGTTATATTTGGTGATATTCATAGCTATTCACGTGGAAAGGATACAACAAATTAGCTTTCTCAAACAATAAATACATTATCTTTTGTAAAAAAATCCCTTTCCAATAAAAAAGACCTAATTTCGTCTACATTAATAAAAACGTAATGCCATCAAAGCGAACGCCGAGCTCTGCCGAGCTCGCAATTAAAAAAATGAAGCGAAAATTCCACGCATTCAATTAAACGTATCCCCCCCCCCCCCAAAAAAAGCAAGAAATGAAGCGAGCGCCTGCGTCATAATTCAAACAGATACCGAGTACGTTAAATTCTGCAAAAATGATGAAATCTTCGAAGAACGAAACAATTATAAACGTCGACATAAAATTAGCATAATTTGGCGACGCGCTGTTACGAAGCCGTGTCCAAAAAAAGACGAACAAATGTTAAAAAAAAGATCACGGCGACTGATAAAGTCGCAAATACAGAGCCGCTTCTATATTAAAATTAATTAACTAGCCAGCGAATAAATCACGCGTCGCATCGGGGACATCTTTTGGAACCGCCTTTTTTCCGCAATTTTTCTATGGGAATCGACCACTGTGCGCGGCGCGTCGTCCGCGTTTTTCAGCTTCTCGCGGATGCCTACGATCCACGGATCGGGTGCTACCTGTGCTCGCGCCGTTCCTTTTTCTTGTGCTCGTGTGCCCCGAAGGCATAGCGGGGGCAATGTCAAGGTGTTATAAGGCCTGACGCATCCCTGCTGGCCGGTCATTCCACGCGAAGAAATTCGATCGAGTCGCGCGAGCACCGCGGAGAGCGCAGAAGGAGCCATTTAGCGATCGCGATTTATTATTATTATTATTATTATTATTTTATTATTATTATTATAATGACCTGGTCCACTAGCCTGTTGTTGTGCGCGTGTGCGTTGCTGATCGGTGCCGACGCGATCGGCAAGTACAAGGGCCTGGAGTTTTTGGAGCCGTGCTCCAAGAGGGACCATAATCTCGAGAGCTGTCTCGCGAGGTCGGCGAACGCCCTCACCGAACATTTCCGTCACGGTAAGCGAACTATGTCGGCTTCGAGCTCGTCTTCGATCTCTCCGAGATCTAGAGATTTAGAGTCGCGGTTCGTTATCGTTCATTATCGGTTCTCGATTCGTCCGCGGTGCAATGCATTGCACTCGCTGCAATGTCGCCAGGCGATAACACCGTCGACTTTACAGTTTATCTGTTCGCTTGCTTAAATTATTCAAAATTATTCTTTATTTAATGCCGAAAATTATATTCAGTTTTGTCACTCTGATAGAACAGGATGTTTCAGTTACTTTTATTGTTTCATAGGCTGAGGGTTGAATTTAGCAAAAATAATCTGATTAATGCGATTATGACTTGTTAATTATTATTATATTAATTCAGTTATATGAATTTTTTAGTTTAATTTAGTTATAATAAAAGTAATCGCAATAATAATAATAATTCATTATTATGAATTGGTTATGATAATTAATGATTCCAAGTCGTTGCTTGTTATAAATTATTATAAATTGGCTGTAATAATTAATGAGTTCAACTCGTTGGTTGTTACAAATTATTATAAATTGGCTGTAATAATTAATGAGTTTAACTCGTTGGTTGTTACAAATCATTATAAATTAGTTACAATAATTAACGATTGTAACTCGTTGGTTACTACAAATCATTATAAATTAGTTACAATAATTAACGATTGCAATTCGTTGGTTATTAAAAATCTATCTGAACGAAAATTTGATTCGTCTTTGACGGAATAAACGAAAGCAAGTGGCAGCGGCTGCCGTTCGCAGCTCGGCTTCTACGTAAAAGTAGAATTCGTGCGGGAAGTAGTCCTGTTCGCGGAGCGAGAAAAATACGGAAGTCGAAAGTAGAAGATCGCCGCGAAGATCTTGGCGTGACACCACGTGTTGCCCCGTCGAAAACGAATAAAAAGACGCGACCGCGGCTAAGAAGCAGGTTATAACGGTGTATTCGAATGGTCACCCAGTGTCCTACATTCCTCGGGCTCGTCGCTGCAGACCGACGGAATAGGTTCAACGTTCTGACGCCGGCTGAATAAAACATCCGAACGTGCATGCGACGTGGCGCCGTCGGGAGCCGAATATCGCGCGGAATAATCCGACAGAATAATTTGTTATCGAACATTCTTCTCGCACAATGCTATAATTGTCTTAGGACCATCTGTAAACAATTAGGTTTAACTTGCATCAACTTATATTTAACTATTTTGATAATTTTAATAATAATAATTTTAATAATTTTAATCATATTTTAATAATTTTAATAATAATTTTAATAATTTTACCATAAACGCGTCGAATGTCGATCAATTTCATTGTAAAAATTAATACTGCGATAATAATGTAATAACAGAATAGGGAATTTGAAACGAAACACGCGAATAACTCGCTTGTTTATAACAATAGAAGAAAAATTGTTAGACGAAAGTTGTTCTATTTTAAGAGGCGCATTGTATTATGTCAATAACTTTTTTATAGCTGGAAGTATAGAGGACGTATGAAGGTCGAAGCTGTCTTTTTAAATAGAACGACCTAGACTTTTATTCATATTCCGATAGAGTTTCTCAAGACGAATACAATGACCTATAAATGAAGGTAATTCGAGAAGGTTACAGCATACGAGCCAATGAAAGGCGAGCTCTGCTGGCGCGAGGCGGTCCATCCGACGGCCGCGCGGTGCCCAGTTCCGCTGATTGGCTCGGCCGTCGCGCGGCAGTCGCTCTCGCCTCTCATTGGCCACGGTTTTTCGTCAATAACTCGTAAACGAAGCCTCGTAGAACATTTTCGCTGAGGAAAAAGTTGCTTCAAATCGCTCGAGGAATCTCTCGTTGCCGTTTAACGATCTTCCGGACACCCTGTAGAATCTCCAGGCTGCTCGCGCTTACTTTCCCGCCGGAACAACGAAGAAAGGAAAGAGTTGACCGACGACCTTGCAACGTCGGTCGACGTCCGCTGCTGCGAAACGCATCGACGAGACAATAAGCAGATAATAAACAGAACAAAATAAACAAAAATAAACAGTCTCGCTTGCCGCGATTCGAATAATAAAGAACGACCGAGATTCCAAACGATTTTCTAAAATGTTCACGATTGTTTCGCGGTCGCAGGTCTGCCTCAGCTGGGCTACACAGAAGTCGAGCCGATCGTTCTCGACGAGCTGCACATCGCGCTGGGCGGCGGGTCCGACGGCTACAGGGCCCAGTTCAAGGACATCGCCGCGAGAGGAGTTTCCACGCTGCGGGTAACTGGTTTAAGGGCGAGGCTGTCGGACGACGAGGTGCAATTGCAATTGGCGCTCAGCATTCCGAAGATCCGGGCCGCGGCTAAATACAGATCCAGCGGCACCTTGATCCTGGTGAAAGCCAGCGGCGCCGGCGATTATTGGGGAGAGTACGGTAAGAGACGAATAATTCTAACAGCGCCGGAACGAACGTTGTCAGGCCTGTCTGTCCGTCCGTCCGTCCGTTCGTAAATGAAGAGATTCGACGAAGAGATTCGACGCGAAATTAAATTCGCGGCGAATCGCGGGATTCGAAAGGCGGCGCGGCGCGGCGCCGGATTTAAGCGCCGTGAAAACTGATTACTGTGAACGGTATATTTTTTTTTTTTAATCTCGAACGGTAGTTAATCTTTGTAATAGAGGAGCGCGGGACTCGGTGAAAATACCCTGGTAAAAGTGTGGCGGAGACGCGTTGACTTTCACTGAAAGGCGCAATGTAAATTTGTTTTTGAAGGATTTCACGGTTTATTATCGCGACGGCGGCGGCCGATGGGACCGGCAATGTGTGTGTGTCTAGAATCAACGAGTTTTTAATTGGTATGTGCAGTTGTGCAGAGAAAATCTGTATGGTGCTGGGGAAAAATCTGTATGTTTATGTTTAGATGATTTGGAAACGCTTTGATTTAATGTTCTGTGGACGGTATATTTTATTGTGGAATCAAGAAAGCGTAACTGTATTTGTATACTTCTAGGTTTGAAGTGATAGAAGACGGAGATATATGTATATTTAAGTATATGTACATTTCTATGTTAGAAATGATAGGATATAATTGCATTTTTATGTATATTTACAGATAATAGAATATAACTGTATTTCTGTGTATATTAGAGATAATAGAAAATATAAATATAACTATGGTTCTATATTAGAAATGGTAGAAAATAGAAATATATCCATATTTCTATATTAGATATATTAAAAAGTAGAAATATATCTATATTTCTATATTAGAAATAATAGAAAGTAGAAATATATCTATATTTCTATATTAGAAATATTAAAAAGTGAAAATATATCTATATTTCTATATTAGAAATATTAAAAAGTGAAAATATATCTATATTTCTATATTAGAAATATTAAAAAGTGAAACTATATCTATATTTCTATATTAGAAATATTAAAAAGTGAAAATATATCTATATTTCTATATTAGAAATA